TTCAAAAGGCAAAAGGAAAGATGTTCAGTTTATGTTCACCTGACATGAAATAGCTGTGTGATCTAAGCTATTTCAAGTGGAAATAAACATTAAGTTTCCATTCATCCATTAACAAAATGCCTTGCCTCCAGCTTCAGATTTTTGGCTTTCATTGACATTTGCAAATTAACACAAACTACTCTTATGTCCAAGTATGTTTGAAAAAAATATACAGGATTTATGTATCCTGTATATATATATATATATATATATATATATATATATATATATATATATATATATATATATATATATATATATATATATATATATATATATATATATATAAAGAAATAGGTTTGATATCAGTGAATTCAACTTCATTTCATTCAAAGTACACCTGATGTATGTATCATTATAATATTATTATAATGTATATGAAAGAAACACAGTTGCCAAAAGTAAACAGGCAACATATTTTGTGAAGTTACAAAAGGTGAAGAAGAGGTGTTTTATTGAGTTTATTTATTTTTAAAAGGATAAAAGGTGAATATGTGTCTTCTAGTATAGATAATAAAAAATTATACACGTTTGGCATGAACCGCACCATGATTTTTATTAAAAGCCAAATGCCTAATTCAAACAATCATACTCTTCATATGTCGGTGATCTGCTGCCTCCTGGTGGGAAGAATGCGGGATCTCATTTACATGCGAATTTCCAAACAAGGCTATCGAACAATATTTAAACCTAACAATAATGTAATGATGAATACATTCTGCTTATTTTAGGTGGTATTACAGTATAAAACGTGATACAAACTCCCAAAGAAGTCCTAATTTAACACAGAAAATAGGTAAGATGCTCCAATGTTTTCAATGTTTTCACAGTAAGATTGTGGTCGATCTGTCTTTTTTATTTTAACAAGTAAAGTTAAAGGTTTTCTCATTCTAAAAATGAGTTTTTTAAAAAAATATATGTTACCCTTGCACAGGTCATCTGAGACTGGGGATCTTACTGCACATGGTGGTGAAGGCTTTTTTAAATTTTCCCTATGGCCCTCTTTGAATAGGCTATTGGCTTTCCATAGATTAATAATACAGTATTTATATTTAATGCTCACCTGACATGAAATACCATTGTGATCTTAGCCATTTCAAGAGGAAATAAACATTTACAATATTTATTTGTTTATTTCAAAGGGACTGATTTGACTAATCAAATCAGTACCTTGTAAAATACAATTTACATTGAACAGACATCAAACAAACATTAACAAAAATGTTTTCTTTAGTCAGGAAGAATAAAAGCAAGACAGTATTTACTATTTTTGTACTACTTCAAAATATGAAGCAACGTTTCAAATATTTGATCATTAACATGGAAAAGAAAATATCTCAGTTATAAAACCAGATTAATCAAATTTATTAAATATGTGCGTGGTTGTCTCCATGTTCTTGCATGGAACAAGGAGAAGTGATTTTTGTGGGGAAATTAACAATAGTGGAAGAAATGCAGAGCAGGAAGTTATTATTGTTACAATTTTGAGGGAACAAAACAAGACCATCTTTGACCTGTCAAAAAGAAAACAAACAAACAAAAAAAAAAAACTTCCTCATACTTTAAGACTGCCAAGAAACACAGAGAGGATGTATGTGAAAAATCACAGCAAAGTCTATTCAGATATGTTTTTGGGTATATCATGATGCATTATGTCTTAGAACAACTCATCCAATTTAACTGATTCACAACACATTACTTAATCATGCTGGAACAATTTTATTAAAGATCATTAGAATAATGATTAGCTTGACAGTGGTTAGCATTCTGTGACATGTTCCTATCCTTCAAAAGGCATGACTGCAGTGACACAGCTCTAATCTGTTCAAGTCACAGTTTGAACTCAGGGCCTTACAGGCTCATTTGAGTGTGAACAGGGGAAATGAGGGGTCCCTGATATAAACGGACGGAGGATCTCCGGAGACAATACAATAGCTCCACTGAGCAGGTCCCTAATTCAAAATCTCATCAGTCCCAGTAGTCTTCATGCCTGTGCTCAGGTTATCTTTTATCACTTCCTTGTTCTTCCTCCAGCATGTATCTGATTGAATTAATGTGCTCCCTTTTAAATGCTATAATAGCTTTTGTGCAGCTCATTCAAATCTGGACATAATTTTCTGACGAGGAGAGATAAACTATTGGGGGAAGATAACACATAATGACTACAGTTTCACAAATGGAGTCACTGTTTTAGGTTTAGCAAAATAAGTGCAGAAGGTAAATAGATTATATACAATGACACCGAGTTATACTTTTTGTAACAGGTGATGTGATGTAAAATCAAAGTACACACAACTGAAATGAAACATGCAGATTTTCAATTTCAAGTTCATGAGATGTTATTTTTCTCCTCAGATCTATTACATCTGGTTTGAGTGGATGTATCCATTCATGCCTTCTGCAGCCGTGATGAAGCCAAGATTTGTGATCTAAATACATGTTCTGCTGGTTTAATGATGCCTTGCAAATTTATTTCTGACACAGTTCCCTCTCTTACTCCTAGTTAGTTCCTGAGATTCCTTTAAATCTTAGGCTCTTGGCTGAGCTGCATTGACATTATGCATGATAAAGCTCGATTCAAATCAGCCTTTAAGCACACTCACACACTGAGGACATGTAAAGCAAGGGTTTGTGTTCAGCAGGCAGTGGTCTGTTAGGAAAACGTGCAGAGGTTAGATCAGTCTACTTTATTTGCCTATAACTGCCCATTTATCTTCAGTTAGTCACATAAAACACACCCTGCATAACAGCTCCCAGCACCAGCTAGATTGCTCCAAAGTGAAACTAAGACCAGATTTGCGATCTCCAGGTCTTTAAATAGCCTTACAGATGGTTAATTACCCTTTCATCTCTTTGTCCTTCAGTATGCTCATATTCATGTGCAACACACACACTGCTTGGATACATTAGCTACGATAGTCAAATATCCTAAAGAGTTCAGATAAATGTTAAGTCGCACATACTTCACTCAGTGTGCAATGTGTCCTGGTGGTTTCCAGACATCAGTCGAGACTTTGATTCACACGTTTTTTATTTAACAGCTTCCACCTTGTTTTGCCCCCTCCAGAATCCTTGGAAGACGTTTAAATGTTAAAATGTATCAGGTTAGAGTTTAATTATATTCATCGTTCATTGCAGTAGTGTGATCTATTTGACTTATAAATATTACATTACTGAGGGACATTCAGCCACTCTTAAAAATAGGACAAATGAAACAACATGCCATTCTAGTAAGAGAGTTGTGAATTGATCTTCATGAATCACTATTTTGATTTATGATAGCAAACTCCAAAAAAAGTGAGTTTTTGGGACGAAGTCTCAATACGTAATGAGGATTAAATACAACCTACAAGTCAACTGGTTACTCTGGATTCATACCAGAGAAAATATTTTTCTGCCCCAACGTCACAAGATTTAAAGTGTATTGTGACTTTAATTGGGACTATTGTTACTTTAATTAGAAGCATATGGTTTGGTCTGATTATTTTTTTGAACAGCAAACACTCTAGATGAAGCTAGTGCAAAACAAAGGATTGAAATGTGTGTTTGGCGTGTTAGGACTTGTCATGCTGCTGGCGTGGAGGTTATTGGAGTCTGACAGGATGGATCAAGAATATTTTGAAATCATAGGATATTTTGGCAATTATCTGGTGGACTCTGGCAGAGAACTGAAGGTGGGTGATAACAGACTTTCTGAAGTGCATGTAACGAAATCACCAGACTTGCCAAACAGAAATTCTGTATTTTATGACCACTTCTTTAATGAATAGGAAAGGACACAGGACTCTGGTAGTTCCAATGAAGATTGAGGTCTAAGATTCCTCTCTCTCTATGTTTAACCTCGTTCAGGTTCTGAACTATTGGCAAAAGGAGTATACAGATCTATATGTTCTGAATGTGAGGTTCAGAACATAATGCTCAACTGTAAGGAAATATGAAATCATTGTAAGATAATTTCAGATTTTTTTGTACAAACAATGCTGTAAATGTAGAGTCCACCAAATGCATAAAAAATTGAAACATGCTGTATTTTTATATGACAATGTGGAATCTGAACAATAGAGATGTGATGCATGAGGATTTTTTGAACCGCTGATTTTTTTAATGTATATTAACAATGTAGCAATCAGCAGCATCTGATTCCAATTCAATCATGAGTATGCACAGGCTCCATCTCACTTTTAAGATACAAGTGATTTTAATTTACAGAGTGGTAAAAATGTACAAAATCACGGCTAATTTCTTAGATCACAAGTACTTTCCCTGGCAGGATAAACTGTTCTGGTTGTCTTTCGGAAATTACATCAGGTTTTGTCAGACAAAAACTGTGTTTTATTTTAATAATGACATTACACGTCCCTTCCACATGCAATGTTGCAAAATGTGTGCCTAGAATAGAGGACAAAAGAGTGAAAATTAAAGAGCTTGATGCAGCAGTGTGCAAGAACAACTTTGATGCCATCAGTTAAGATAATGACACAATGAAGTGTCAGTGAATGTCACACTATGTAAAGAGGGGTCACCAAATGCCAGATAAGTCAGGGAGAAGATTAGACGTGAATTTGCTTGTGATCACAGGCCAAAGAAAGAGGCCTTTTATTGACACTGCTTTTATCTGGAAGCCAATCATGGACCAGTCATTTGTCAGCTGCCTACTGGAACCAGCTTGTTCACACACTGGCAAACAATTAGCTGCATGGCATTTCATAGTGTCATGATTAAACAAAGGGAACCTGCACTATCTATGTCCTCAGGTCTTTTCACAGATTAGCTTGTGACAGGTTCAGCAGTATAAAGATGCTTGAACTGTTGCTATTAACTACAGCCAGCTGACAATATTATTAAAATTTTATCAAAAATTGCTATAATTAGTGTGATGCCTGTGAAACACCATCATTTCTTTGACTGATCCGCTCTATTTTACATTTGACAGTATACAAAACTCCTAAAAATAACTTAGATTAAGTAAAACAATTACAAACTTTATTTGTATCAAACATCTAAAAACAAATACATTTTCTTTACAATTTTAAAAAAAGCAAAGCATGTAAGAAGACAAAGTAAGCTTCAAAACTCCAGTGAATATCAATATTTTATCTTGTATGCGTTTCTTGCACTGTGCCTATGGGATCTTTTTAAATTTAATTTAATTTAATTTTAACTTAAGTGAATAAGCACGTGTGCTTCCCAAAGGACATTTCACAGTATCAGTGTCAAAACACGTAACACAAATTTGTCACACATGCTTAAACAGCTACATCAAACATGTGTTCCTTTGGAACTTACTGTTTCAAAAATGCATTTCGTCAACAACAAAACAAAAACAGACACAAGCTTCATTGTGTTTAGTACTCATTTTTTAGTGCTTTTTCTTAGCTTTTCATCTGCAAAATATTATGTAAACACAACTTTTGAGGTCTCACTGGCGCAGCCCAAAAAGGATCTCAGTGCAGTGTCAATACAAAGGGAAACATAAAAAGAAATAGAAAATAAAAATAGAAAACACTTGTAAACAAATTAAACACACCTATATTTTAAAAAGTCAACTGAAAACCACGTTCAAATGTTGCAATCATGCACATAAGGCATGAAAAAAATAAATTAATGAAATTATCACTTGTCTGTCTCCCTCCATCCTCTTGCATTCCTTCCAAACTTGTAAACCAGTCTGCGCCCATCCACTCGCTCTAAAATGTCTCTCTTGTAATAGTATCTGTAATGGGGACAGGAACGAAAATTTTAGAAGATTTTATGAGGTAATTCAAAATACAGATTTATTATGACTAAAGTGTTATCCTTAATTTTGCAAAAAATAAAATAGCATATAAAAAATTAACCATATTTTTCTATATATTAAAGGTGTGTGTAAGAAATTCCAACAAACCAATGTAAGGAGTTTATGGCAGGACACATAAAATTGATTCATCTCATAGAGTTTAAAACAATTCTATCAAATACCGTGGAAGTTCTGTGAATTTCTAAAATTAAAAAAAGTAATCTAAGCACTATCTCTTTAAATACTTGGGTGTTTAACAAATAGAAATGCATTTGATAACTTACTTATTTTATCTCACCTAAAATAGGAAAACAAATGACTTAATATCAAGACAGGGACATAAAACGAATGCTAGTCTCCTTATGCACTGTATCCAAAAGTCTGATATGAACTGCATGCCTCCAGGTTGCACAACCAGGATTTTATCTAAAAGTGTTACGATGTGGCTGGTATGTTATTTGACACCATTTTTTGTTTGCTTTTGCAACACGTCAGCACCTGAACACAATTATTGTTCACTTTGTTGCTTTCTGTCTGACTTGTTTTCCCCTTAAATGTGTGTAAGATTTTTCCAATGAACAAGAAACAATTTTCCACATTTTTAATAGGTTTGTTCTTTGTTCTTGTTATTTCACTTCCTTGTACCTCATTAGCATTTTTTTTTTCTTTTTGGAACAGTATTTTCTATTGCTGAAAACTTTAAGATTAGTTTACACATACTTAATACAGTTCAAGGTGTAAAACTTTAATGTTAAGCTATTCATATTTAATCTTACTTTGCTTACTTATAGCTCCATAAAATTTAACACAGTGACTCCCATTTTGTAAATACTTTACAAAACAGAAGTATAATAAAGCAACTTTCCATAAAAAATATACAGACTTTAAATTTTTTGCAATGAATTTAGATAAAATATTTTGACTACTTTTCTTTTGTCATTATTCTTTGTTAGAGTGACAACACCAGTTTTGAAAGCTGCAAACTGCAAATCATTTAACACCAACAGAATACATAAAAACCACCTTTGTCCTCACAGTGACACTGCCCTCCTGATGTCCTGTTGATACATGTCATTTGTACAACATTGTTAGTGTTGCTATGACTCAACCAGCCAATATTTCCTTGGTGAAATTCTCTTTTTTTCTTTCTGTTAATAACATATAGTAGGAATAAATATGAATTAATCTGACAGTGAGCAACAGAAACTCATTAAAACTGGTTTTGAAGTGTTATGCTTTTGGTTGGAATGCCCAAGAAAGCAGCGATAAGAATTTGGGTAGATTTCCTTTATTTTAAATTTGGAAAAGGAACAACAGAGTGTTGAATTTTTTGCTCATGACGATTTAGACAAGTTGAGACAAAACTAATACTGAATAGTTATAAAACTGGTGGAGAAACCAATACAAAAAGTGTAATTTATTGATTGCTAAAAAAAAATGGTATGGAGTGCAATCAATTGCCACAGTGTGTTTATGGCATGCAAACATGAGGTTTTGTGTAGCTACATTTGTAAAACTTGTGTGGCTGTACCTCATTGCACGACTTAGTTTCTCATAGGTCATGCTACTGTTATTCTTCTTCTTTCCCCATAGCTGAGCCACAGCCTCAGACTTCAGGAAACGGAATACCCCCTCTGTTCGATCTTCCCACTTGATCAGCCCGGGGTTTCTCTCTGGATTCAGAAGAATGTCTCTGATGAACTCCCACAAGTGGGTTCCTCTCGGGTCTTTTGAAAAAAAAAAAACAAAAGGCGGTAAAACAACTGACATTTTGTGGAACTAAGACAACTTCTTGTAAGCTGTGTTTCTACTACTTACTGTGTTTTTTGACCTGATGACTTTGACTAAAAGACCGTTTAATGTCTGAAAGAATAAATGTAATCTTGGTGAGCAGGCATTATTCATAAATCAGGCAATCAGCCACTGTGTTGCATAAATGTGTTTTTTTGTTTGTTTGTTTGTTTCTTACCAGGACTTGAAGGGGTGGGAGAGACTTTGGGAGCATGTGAGTGAACCAAAGGGTCATAGACTTCTGATTAAAACACAAAAACAAACCCATAAAATCATCGGTCAGGCAGCTGTTTAAATAAAATATGTTTTAGGAAAGCAATCCAATTCCAGAAAGATATATTTGCTTTACCTCCGGGTGGATAGCTGACATCTGGAAATGGACATAAGTCAGCTGTAAAATGGGGAAATGTGAGTGGAAGGAACATTTATTGGGAATCAACTAAATAGCCTTGAGCAAATCTTCCCAAACACCATTAATGCTGTATTTCAACGTACTTTCATGTTTGATCTCCAGCTGCCCGATATCCACATGGTACTGGCCTGTGCATCAATAAAGAGGGAACAAAAAAAAAATATTTTAGCACAAACATTATTTGCTATGCAATATTTTGAAGACAGAACATTTGGATGGTTAGGCATTCAACAATATATTTTAATGCAGCTTTTTTTTCCCCCACTAAACAATCCAAATTGACCATAAGACACAGGTGGAATGAACTCCCAAGATAGGCAGGGTATCATTAATTATGTTCAGTGTGTGTGGTTTAATAACAGCACAAGAACTACAAGAGTCAAGCTCATCAGCTGGCATGAGCACAATCCGATCGTTTGACGGATTTTGACATAACTGTGAAGCATCTGTGTTGCAAGGTGCAAGCTGAAGCAAATTGTATTCATTATGGTTTTCAGAAATTTAGCCTGTGCAAAATCTTTCAATATTCCTGTTTGAATTTTTCTGTCTGATTTTTGGATTAGTTTGACTAATTAAAAAATAAAAGGTCTGTTTGCAAGCTTTAAACAAGTCTCTCCTGAATGAATGAACTGAAACTATCAAAAAGTACCCCATGCAGTGTGCAAGATAGCCTGAGATTACATCAGGTACATCATAAAATCTGGTACATTGCTCTGAGGCATTATCAGACAATGCTTTACAAGGCAAAGTAGGTGAACTATATCTAGATTTTAATAGCTTGGCATGAACATTTCTGTTCTGATTGGTGGTTTTCTGTCTGACAAAATACTTTGGACACTGATGTAGTTTTTGTAGTGAGCTCTGGATTCCCATTTGTGCTTTGAACTTTAGACATCTATTCTTGGCCTCCATGTTCTTTTTTTGTCGGTGTCCATGAATGGGAACCACGTGGATGTTTATGTGTAAGGTAAATTAGTTACATATTCCAGTCAGGAAGAACAATAAAAGCACTGAAGTTTCACTTTACCATGCCTTGCAGACAGGAGGTTATACCTGTTATACCAGGTTTTCTAGCACTGTTTTTGCCTGAGGGACTCTTAACTTCAGATGCTAGATAAAAGATTATGTGTTTTTCTCATTCGTTACACATGAAAATGAAATGTCTCAGTTGTCTTGTAAGCTGAAACGTGCACCTGAAAGACGTTGAAGGTTAGAAGGTGATTCCTTGAGGCTCCAAACATCATGTTTCTTCGCAAACTCTAATTAAAATCAATAGATGAGTCATTTTCTGCTCCTGTTTACCTTCACGCCCCCTGTGATTTGTTAGACGAGCCACTCCAGAAAGAGAAAACAACAAATCTATCATCTCCCCTCGCTTTAAGTACTCCAGCACCATGCAGTGCAACCCCTGACTGACTTTTTGATCCCTTCTCAGCTTCGCTCCATCTACACTTTGTCCCACACACAACACTGATTACACAGCCTTTCTTTTACTGGTAGTAATTGTCTTTTTTCTGGCCCCCTTGAACTCTTCTCTTGCTCATACCTACCACCCGATTTTAGCTCTGTGATGCTGTTGTAAAGAATGTGTCCCACACTGCCAGCAGCACGGATGAAGTCATGGTAGTTCAGGCTGCAAAGCTGATGGCCTTCCATGTCAAAGTTTTGGAAGGGAATGCTGGCGGCATCAATCTGGTGGATATCCATGACCTGCTGCAGCCACTCCCACACCTGGTACTTGCTCCAGAACTGAGGCTGGGAGTCGTGGGACCACAGGCGACTTGTGTAACTGGACATCACCAGGGGACCTGCATACACATGTCAATAGTTAGAAAACAAAACAAAAAAAAAATGTGTTTGCTGTTGTAGACAACCGTTAATTAGGAAAACATATTCAAATGTTTTGCCAATAATGAGTCTGAAACACAATTCACTTGATTCATTTCTCTGGCAGCAATTCTGGATTCAGACCCGTTTTCTGTGAGCTTCAGGCCCACCAGGTGTGCAAGTCATCATGTCTGAATGAGTTTCACTCCATATTCAAGCGTCAGAGAGATAGTTCGCCCAACAGAACACAATTAAAACTTCAAACAGAATGTTTTACCAGATTTTCTTCAGACATTTTAGGTTTTTATCTGGACAATTTCATCAAGTAATTAATGTCAGGCAAGACTGCCTATGTGATACAGTATTCTGGAAAGAATACTGTCAATTTCATCCTGACTCTGACAGTGTAGGTTACAGTCCTTACCGTCGTAATAAGAGTTAGCAGGTCCCCAGGTGGTGGTCAGAGGGCTTTCCAGGGAGACGGATGGAGTTATGCTCATGTTGCAGATTTTAAGCTCTGACCATGGCTCAGGAGCTAAAGCATGAGAGGAGATGTGTTACTCTATTAATAAGCAAAACATCTTTGCTTGTAGCTAGACAATTGTGTTTTTATGGGTTCTGCCAGGCAGCAAAGAAAAGCAGTATTACTGGACTGGATGTGATGCAGGGACACTGGTAGATTTTCTCTAGCAGAGGAAGAAAACAGAATAAACCAGACTGATCTCACAGCAAATCTAGCAGCAAATCTAATACCCAGTTTATCAGATGCTGCATATTTATTTTGAGCCCATGGAATTGTGTGAATGCATCTGCTTTTATCCATCAATTTTGTGTGTGAATGTCAGCGTGGGATTGTATGCAAGTGTGGAGAGATGGAAAGGCAGAGACTGTATGTAGTCAAATTGAGGTACCACCAATCCTAACTGAAGCTTCTTCTCACTCAATGTTGTAGTCGTGGACAAAAACGGCACCATACAAAATTTACTTTACAGTATATTTTGAAACTAGCTCATCATTCCTTTTATGATAGCAATAACTGGGATAACTTAATCATCCTGCCATAAACTTTAGGTGAAAACTGTATAATCAAGTTGATACATTACATATAAAAGAGTGTTTTCTAGAGCACTAAAAATGAGAGGCACAAAGCCTTCTGTGTCTGCACCATTAATGCGCTAAATAAGCAAATTTGGCAGTTGGGTTTTACTTCTTGAAGGAAGTTCATTTGTTTATGTACAGAGCAAAAACTGTTTAATTTATCTGTCTGTGTTTGAAGTGCATCAATTTTTGCTCTTCTCATGTTCAGTCAAAAAACTAATTAATGGATGCACTTTTTTCCATGTGACTTGATGTCATCAATTGACCAAAAAATAATTTCTAACAGTAACAAGTATTTTTCAAGATATTTTTTTTTAAAATAATTTGAACACTACTTATTACAAATATAAAACATAGATAAAGGAATGTTTCAGACCTAACTCTGCATGTATTTGCATGTAATGCAAATATACATGTATCAGAATTTCACCAGCTCCACTGTTTTGGTGGCAGAAGTTCTTCATGTGCACAATAGCCTACTTGTAGTTTTCGTAGTTCACTGTTAATATTGGATTGTAACCGTGAGTTGCTGTTACAAGTCTAACAGGTGCTGCATTCTTGAGAAATGAGGCAGGCAGTTACTCATTACTCATTAATATTGGCACTGATAAAGTAAACCGGTGCATCACAATCTGCTGTCTGTGTTTGTAGTTCTGTTTCCACAAGATATTTTCCAGTTCTAGTAATTAACTAAATGTGTAAAGACTTTAAATGATGAAATGGTCACCTACTGTCTAATGTCACAGTAATTACTGACCTATTTTAAGTGACTCCACCATAAATCTAACTCTTCACCTTTTCCCTGAATAATCTGGGTTACAGTTTTATTGTAGGCATTAAATAACATGACACTAAGTCTCATTATATACCACGATCGCAACAGTAATGGAGGAGCATGTCACCACATATATAACTAAATAACTAAATATCCTTTCATCTAAAAAAAATCTGGTAAATCGCTTGTATTAAAAAAGCCTACTTTGTCGATCTTTAAAACTTGTTTTTCTGTAAGACTAGTGCCGCATGCCATCAAACCAAGCAGGATGAACTCTTCAGCTGTCAGTGTGCCAAGTCATCAGACATGTTAACCCTTAGTGTGAGTAACTGGAATGTACATATCTTATCAAGGTGGCAGAGTGGTCTACGTCAATAGGCCAGTCAGAAAGCTACTTTTATTGTATACGGTAAGTCATGTCATAACAGAAGATCACTCATTTTCCAGAATCATTAGGGAGAAGTCATTTAGCTTCTGCAAAAGAAAATCCAAAGATAGTCTGCTTTCATTTTCACAGTAATCTCATGGAGGCAGAAAAGCTTTCAAAGTTTGCAGGTTTTCTGGTTTAATTGCTTTCATATAAGCAATTTCTACCGTCGATCATGTATTGAAGAATCTGCACTGTATTCAGCCTTCATTTCTTGTAAGTGTGATAAAGTTACACATGGGTTTTTTACCGTAATCAAGAGTTTGCTGAGAAGGAAACAGAAAAACCTTGCAGTTTTTTTGAGAAAAGAAAAATTTGCCACTTACCAGAACAGAACAATGTGACCCCACTAGACCAAGCTGATAAAAGTCCTGCGTTGATCCTCCAGTGATCCAGTCAGACAGATCAATCCAGCTTCAGATGATTCTGGTACAGTGGCTTGCTTATGCTCAGAACCAGGTGAAGTTAGTCGTCCTGCTTTTCAATGCTATGAATCAACAGATGTATACAGGCTCTACAGGTGCTACCCCACCACAATGGGATTTTTTATCCACTTAACTTCCTTATCCCGTTTGATTGGCTCCCTACAGGTTTACACAAGGTAGCTATTTGCATAATACACACCCACGGACACGCACACACACATGCACACAGACACGCACACCTGAGATAACTTTTGCAGTCCTCAGTGGCACGGTTCTTCTCACATTTAACACATGCCTACTCAAGCAAATAAATTTACACTTACAAGGAGACACGTAAATAACAAACACACACACACAAACATCCAGGGTCCAAGAGCACGGCAAAGCTTCAAAGAGAAAATATTAAGATGTTTAAAAAGAATGCTTACATGGTTGCTGAGTGGAGTTAAACATTACAGGGAAGAAATTCTCCTGTGTTAATATGTAGCACAATATTTGGTTTTCTTACAGCATGATGAACGTTGAGCTAACAGGTTAAATAGGAGGACCTAAGAGACTTAATTTTTAGCTAATTTATTTATTTTTTTGAAATAGGATAGTACTGCACCACAGAAACATATTAAAAGAACATTCAGTAAAGCATTAGCTTTATTGAATTTCCACATTTGCACAGCTCAGAATTTCCACTGGAATAGAAAAGTTGAAAATACAGTTCATGAGAAGGGCAGGTGTGGGCTGTGATCATCACTTTTGTAAGTTGTTTTAAACTTGCCTCAGAGATACAGATGGACCCATACTAATTCTAGTTGCTTTACATTTTGATGGGATCTTAGAATGACTTTGGCTCGAATGCAATAATTTACAATTAAATAAACTCCACAAAGAAAAAATAAAATAAAAATAAATACAATACACAGAGCAAATGATAAAAAGTCTCTTCACAAGTGTGAATGACGAATGTATGTAAATTTCTGAGTGCCACTGTATAAGCATGTTGAGTGCTGAGACAGTATAAGATGCACAATGCATTGATGACTGACACTGTTTACTCACAGCAAGAAAAGTTCAGGGCACAAATTAATCAAATAAAATCCCAGTTGACTCTTTTTTGTGCAGAGTTTGTTCTCGTCCCTGCAGTGTGTGTGTGTACTCCGGTTTCCTCCCACACTCAAAAACTTGCATGCAAGGCTAACTGTTCAATTTGAAATCTGAGTATATGAATAGCTGGTTGTTCTCTGTGGAGGCTGGAGTGATTGGTCTACTGGGCTACACCTTTTTCCACTTTTCTTGCACAAATATGAGTGAAGGATGAGTTCTATGATGCCAAGATACACCTGTGATTTTCTGTTTGCTTTGTTGTTTTCTCCATGTCAATTCTAGCAGGTTTGAATCTCTTATTTCAAAGAAACTTTTTCCATTAAATATTGTCTCTGTAGAAACAAGTTTGGAGAGAAAAATAACTTTACTGAAGGTTCCTTTTCTTCACATTCACTGTTACTACTGGCAATGATTAGATAGAGTTCAAGCCTTCTATTTTTGTTTGCCACCAATTAGGGTTGGTGGAAATTGTAACATCGCTCATCTGACACCTCGATGTAAACTGTTAACATGTAACATTACAGAGCCTGTTGGGACCAGAAGCAGTGCGAGGATCATGCTGATAATTGAGATAACTTTGAACAGAGTTGTATTAGACAATAGTAAAAGTCAGTAAAAAAAACACCCAGAATGACAGGTTATTTGCATAGCTTTTTGTGCAAAGTCAAGAATATAAAAAAAATTTGATGCAGAACAAATAAATCATATTTATTTATTATGCATTAATATTGATTTATGTAGTTAAGCATTAATATTTAACAATTCAATAAAATAGAATAAAACAAGCTTTGCACCATTAAACTGCATATTTCATTATCCCAACTGGCTTAGATCAATAGCTTTTGCTCATTCCATAGGCTCTATGATCCATGTTTGGGTGTCTGTGCTCTGCAAGTTCAAGCTGCACTCGCCTTGGAAGTTCTTCCTCTCCAGTGCGTGTACCTCGGACTCTTTCCCGCAGATCATCCTCAGAGGTAATGAGGGATAGCATGATTATCTGTAAAACTTTCACTCCTCTCCCCATGAGCACCAGATCACCGCAGTCCTAATTGTGATATTCGGAACTACTGATCCCTTACAACTTAAAAGAAATTCCCCCCTATATGGGTTTTAGATAGGTGGCATCAGTCCTTTTTGCTGCTCCTTATTTGCGATAGGTTATTTTTGTTTTCCAGTAGCTGTGCATCCAGGGGTCTGTGAAGAATGAAACACCTACAGAGAAAAAAGGGAACCCAAGTGGTTTAGAGTGCAGTCTGAATGCTTAACCAGGTTTTAGTGCATGAAGATTAATGTGGCAATAATCAGCAAATGGAGATCACCCACTTCTCATTACATTCAGTAGTTGGTCTGTCTAAATTTTAATACTTCTCTCTTCATCGAACTATTTATTTGCTGCTTGACCGGGACAGCCTGCTACTTAGAGTTTCACTTTGGGATTCATGGTTCTGCTTTTCTCTTTGTTTCTTTCAGGGTGGTTGTGGGCCGACGTGTACAAGTCCATCGGAGAACAGCAGCATGAAAAAAAAGAGAGAGACACAGCGGGAGAGATCAAAGTCTGTCATATAGGCTTCACTCCGGGTGAGTCAGCCAGCCAACACTGTGAGGAAGCAGCGAAGGCATCCTCCCAGATACAAGAAAATGTCATCCAAAAGCAGTCTTTATAGGCAGTGCCATCTATTTCAGGGAGGGTTAAGTCACTCTCCAATAATAGTTCCCGTCTGATCCATTTATATAAAGGTTCATGACTTGCTTAGTAGAACTGTGACACATTAATGCTTTTTGTAAGGATGCGGTCAAAAGTTTCTCCATGACAAGAGCGGCTGTCAACACTGTCAGTCAGAGCAAGCAGACATGACAGGAGGAGGGTACAGTTGTCTGCTCCAATGAACAGTAACTTATTAGCAAGAGTATGTCTATTACTGTCCCAGTTGCCTCCTCTCTTTCATTAACCGCTTATCACACTCGTTAGTGTCATCTTTAATACTTCACATTTTGATTAGCATATGATCCATGGGGAAGGAAGAAAAAAAAATCATTTTATTAGTGTCAATTATGGCTACAAATGACAATTTTACTGCCTAAATTGTGATTTTACGTTTCCCCCTTGTCAAAGAACAGTGGGTGTGTAATTACAGTGATGAGAAGAGCAACAGAAGAAATGAATTATTCACAATCCTATTTTCTTTCTTGTTCTCTTTTACTCTGCCATGTCTTTTCACTCAGCACCGGTCTTGCTGCATCGCTGATTACATGGGAAAACATGGGTTCTGTGTGTCTCACAAATGCACGCGTTTGGTGTGCAAGACAAAAACAATCCTGTTCTTACCTGCACTGTGTCCAGGAGCATGACTGCACTCAAGGTGATTGAGGTGTAGCTTTCCTGCTCCCCCATAGGTGACACTGTTGTCACATGCGCAACTGGCCATCGCTGAAAATGAGGTTCTGTGATGAGTGAGCAGCACAGATGTGATATAAGAAAGTGTGGGCGATGAAACACTCTCTCTGACAGTTATTGACTATGCTGCCCATGGATGGTACTACTCATATGGGTTACAGTTACAGATCCTACATACATTATTAGCTTTTATAGGGAGGTGTGATACATGAGAGAGAGGGAGAGATTAGAGATGAGACTGTCAGGGCAGCACAGATTTCAAGGGGTGCATTGCCAATTTGTTGTGACAGAGCTGTGCTGTCATATTGGGCTGCCGCAGCCAGTGGCTGCCCCTCGTGTTTCAATTATCACCTCTCTGAGGTGGACCATCAGCTGAGGCTCTTCCAAGGCAACAATGAGTGCTTTTCTCAGAGTCCTAAATATCTCTCATAAAACACATCAGAGAAGCATTTGCTTTTACACAAACCACGAAGCCCTAAAAAGTAACTCTGTCCGAACTACAAGGTGACAGAATACAAGGATTTCATGTGATAACTGAAAAATAGAGTTCCACACCCCAGATAGATAAGTCGACTATTTGCTATGCACTCTGTAAATCCAAGTTACATAGGAACAAGTAGAATGCCATTGTTGAAAGAAAGCCGGAAATTGTAGTTCATCACAATTTGTGCAGGAGACACAGCAGACAAGTGAAAGAAGGTGATCTGTTCACAGGTGATAAAAGAGCTGTTTTTCCCCATGCATGCAAATGAAATGTATGGTGGAAAACTAACTATTTAATCAGCATAAATATGCCACCCCCTCAGCAAAACTTAGTGAAGGCAGCACTATGCTGCGGGAGGTGATTTTCATTGGCAGGGAAAAGAAAGATAAGATGAGGAAGCACGGGCCAAAAAATAAAAATATAAAAAATAAATAAAAAAATACTTTTTAAAGCTACAAAAGACTTGATACTTGGAAGGTTCACCTTCCAGCAAACTAACAACTTTGAAAATGTAGCAACAGCTGGTCTCGTTTGATCAAAGTAAATTAATATGTTTGAATAAACTTTTTAAAGTCCAGGCATAAATCCAATGAAGAATCTTTGGCAGGCCGGATATTTCTGTCTCTAGATTTTGACAAAATCTAGAAAAAATAATATGTTACCTTTTCCTGTAAAAGCAGACAAAGAAAAGTCTAGAACTTTGGGTTACAGTACACATTTTGAACAATTAGAAAACACAAAACTACTTTGGTCTGTGAAAACACAAACAGTTGTACCATATTTTTTTGAGGGGCTGTTTGTGAACCCAAAAGGAATTTTAAGTGTCTTTTATGAGTAATCAAAGGCAACAGAAGCCTACGCTAACAGGCCAGCATTTCAAAACACAATTTTTTTTTAGAAACAATTGTGTGTTTGTAAAAAATGTCAGCAATTTGACTTCATTGGCTTGTATTACTTCATCCCAGCAGGATATATTTGGTTTGTATGTATTACTTTTACCAAAATAATCTCTACTGAACTGATTGTAACTATTTTAAAAATGTTTTTTTTCCTTCTTTCTTGTAGTACTGAGAAAGCAAATTAACAGCAGCAACAA